AATTTGACATCTGGTGGTCCATCACTGTATACATGCCATTCCTTTTGCTTCGATGCAGTGGCTTCTGCTAGTCATTTATTGGTTTTGCAGATCAAATGGGGAAAGTTGATGGTGTGATGTCTAGGCTTGCAGTGCTTAGATTTCTGTAGTAGTGGATCTGTATAAGCTGGTTGTTACTTTGGCTTAATTTTGTAATTATTTTCTATTTAGGGTTTGAGCTTTTTGAGTAGGACTTGGGTAGTAAAGAAGGGATGGGTATTTACTTGTTTGAGGTGCAGTGTCATCATGTAACAGAATCATTGTTTTTGAGGGAGCACTACACTCGCATGCTCTAAGTAACAATATCCAAGGAGGCAAAGCAAATGGAATGGAATCTCAATTCAAGGGATCTGCATCCATAATTCATTTCGTACTGGATTCCATTTTCTTGAAGAAGCTCCCTAATTTGATTTACTGTGACATTTGTTCCTTTCAGCCTATGGAAATTTACGTTGATGACGAGGCCAAGTTGACCCTTCATGGTCTTGTGCAGGTATGTTTTAAGAAGCTGGCTTGTTTTCATCCCCTCATTTGTGTTTGTTTTAATCTAAACACCAAAATGGTTTTAATGACAGCACTACATCAAACTGAGTGAACTGGAGAAAAACCGCAAGTTGAATGACCTCCTTGATGCATTGGACTTCAACCAAGTTGTCATCTTTGTCAAAAGTGTGAACCGAGCAGCTGAGTTGAACAAGTTACTTGTGGAGTGCAATTTTCCTTCTATATGCATCCACTCTGGCATGTCCCAGGAAGAAAGGTTTGTGAAAATTGTACATATCATGCATGATTCATTTCTTCCTCCTTGACTTGTGTATTTTATATTCTTGTAAAACAAGTGGCATAAGGACCCTTTTTTGTTCTATGATCCCTATGAAAGGTTTTCGGGACAGTCTTTCTCTGTCATGTTTTCTTAATGCACCAAGTATGGTGGTTCAGTTGCTTGGCTTGTGTATTCTTCTATGATGGATGCTGTATATCAGAATTGTGGATGTTTCTATAACATGTTGTCATATTATTTTTGTTTATAAATATAAGCATCCGAATCTCTTTCCCTTGGTTGTAATGATGATTAATATGCAGGTTAATTCGCTACAAGGGTTTTAAGGAGGGGCATAAAAGAATTCTTGTGGCTACAGATTTGGTTGGAAGGGGAATTGATATAGAACGTGTTAACATTGTCATCAACTATGACATGCCGGATTCTGCCGATACATACCTGCACAGGGTATTGTTTGTTTCAATCGCGTACCGGTCTTGCTTCTTTTCTCTGCATGTACTGAACAATGTTTCTTGGTCCATTGGTGGTAGGTTGGTAGAGCTGGTCGATTTGGCACCAAGGGTCTTGCAATTACATTTGTTTCATCTGCTTCAGATTCTGATGTGCTCAATCAGGTTTGTGCCCACAACTTGTAACCATTGTTCCGTCCATTGATTTGTCATCCTCAGAAGACTACCTTCAACCCGTTGCAGGTCCAGGAGAGGTTTGAGGTGGATATAAAGGAGCTTCCTGAGCAGATTGATACCTCTACGTACAGTATGTTTCTTTTTATGCCTTCATCTGCCTTTGATATAAGTAGTAGAACATTTATGTTTTTGTTTAGGGATGGTAATTTTCTCCTGCCCTGACGTATCCGACCTGGTCGAAGGTTAAACCTATTTACTAATGCTTATCAATGTGTTTATGCAGTGCCATCATAAATGGAATAATCATGAAGCGGCTTGCGTGTAAACTAATATGGAACTCTTTTTTAAATCAGCAGATGCTTGAAGTATTGTAGCCTTATTGAGGATTTAGCCATCTATAGGGAAATTTCCCCTTTTGAGGACATTTGTTTTTAGAATTATATAATCTTAGTGTATGTAATTTGGAGCTTAACCTCTTAATCTGATTTATGGTCAAGTATAATTTGCTTTTTTATTTTATTTTAAAATAAAATTAATTATAAATGAAATAAAAGTAGAATAGTGTATGCTGTCACATTCTAATTTAGTTTTATTCAATCATAGCAGCTTATAAACTTTTTGCGAGATACCTACCCTACTTTAAATTTATTTTGATTTGTTTTGGTGTTTAAGGGATGTTTTATCTATCATGGGTTTACTTTTAAATTTTAGGTAAAATCCAAATCTGATCTAACATAATTTTTTTTTCAATTTTATTCAATGAAATAGAGTGGTAATTAAAATATATATATAGTGAGGTATTATAATAATTATTTCTTTTTCTTTTCACCTACGTTTCATCTGACTATCAAGCACAAAATGAAGTTTTGTTCGACAATTAAATATAAAACTAAAATGAAATCACGAGTTAAATGGTTTAATTTTAAAATTATTATTTTTTAAAATAAAGAGTTCGAGAGTACGAATTGATTATATTAAAATTTTCATTTGTACCTTACCTTTGTCTTTTTTATCTTCATTTATAAATTTTAATAAAAATCTGATTTGGTTTAGGTCGGCGGAGGTGTTTTTTTAATAATCTTGTATTATTATGAGGTAAGATTTGTTTATAATACCTCTTAATTATTGAAAACATATATCATGTATACGTAGTTGATTGAATCCAAGGTCTCTAGGAAGAGTAATACTCCCTTTAACCACTGAGGTTGCTTTGTTGAGTTCACATATAAGAGTTTCTTTTCCCTTTGGATATACTGTGAACTATGTATTTAATCATCTACTTATTTCACATAATCATCTACTTATTTTTTTTAATCATACAATTATTTTGTTTGTAATTATACCAAACATTATGTTTATGTCCCGTTTTGATCACACACCATTAAGAAATAAATGGAATTGCTGACATTGTAATTTTCTTATATATATTTTTAATTATGACATAACATTATCTTATTGTGAAACGTCAGTATCACAGTTAAATTTTTAACAGCGATAACCAAAATAAAACAAAAAACCTAACGTTAGATTTACTTTTAAAAAACATTCATATGACAAACAAAACCACAAAAATAGATAGATAATTAAATAAGTAGTTCACTTGGGAAAAACCCAAGAAGAAATGGTCTAATTCCATCAAGCTAAAGCTACCATCTTTGCCTACGTCTCGATTCAAACCATCTTTCAATTTTCTATTTCTTTAACTCACTCGCACAATCCGCTCTGACCTCTTCCTCTTCACCGTCTTCTTCTCCTTCACATTCACCATTTCCCCCATCATCTTCCAAAAAAAGAAAAAACAATGGGCAAAGGTGGTTCCTTGAGCGACAATGTCATCAAGAACATCATCCTCTCTTACACCTACGTTTCCATATGGATCTTCCTCAGCTTCACCGTCATCGTCTACAACAAATACATCCTCGACAAGAAGTTCTATAACTGGCCTTTCCCCATTTCCCTTACAATGATCCATATGTCCTTTTGCGCCTCCCTCGCTTTTCTCCTCATCAAGCTCTTCAAATGCGTCGAGCCCGTTTCCATGTCCAGAGACCTTTATCTCTCATCCGTCGTACCCATCGGCGCCCTTTATTCCCTCAGCCTTTGGCTCTCGAATTCCGCTTACATTTACCTGTCCGTCTCCTTCATTCAGATGCTCAAGGCCTTGATGCCCGTGGCTGTTTATTCCATTGGTGTTCTTTTCAAAAAGGAGAGCTTTAAGACGGATACGATGATCAACATGGTGTCCATCTCTTTTGGGGTCGCCATTGCGGCTTATGGGGAAGCTAGATTCGATACCTGGGGTGTGATGCTTCAGCTCGGTGCCGTTGCTTTCGAGGCTACCAGGTTGGTTATGATCCAAATCTTGCTTACTTCTAAAGGCATCACCTTGAATCCCATAACTTCTCTGTATTATGTTGCACCATGCTGTTTGGTTTTCTTGTTGGTGCCGTGGATTTTTGTTGAGTACCCTGTTTTGAAACAGACGTCGAGTTTTGAATTCGATTTCCTTATATTCGGAACCAATTCCTTCTGTGCTTTTGCTCTGAACCTAGCCGTTTTCCTTCTCGTTGGAAAGACTTCTGCTTTGACCATGAATGTAGCTGGGGTTGTAAAGGACTGGCTATTGATTGCCTTCTCTTGGTCTGTTATTAAGGATACGGTGACACCGATTAACTTGTTCGGTTATGGTCTTGCATTTCTAGGTGTTGCTTACTATAACCATGCAAAGTTACAGGCTTTGAAGGCCAAAGAAGCAGAGAAGAAACTTGCACAAGCTGACGTTGAAGCTGACAGGTTGTTGGAGGAAAAGCAAGGTGAGGGAAATGATAAATGAGATTGAAGAGTCCCATAATTTAGAACAGATGGGCAATTGATTATATGAAAATTATGGAAAGATAGGTTGCTAATAAGGATTATAAAAGGCGACAAGAATGGTTTGGATAAGGATCAAAAGGGATTTTTGTTCTTTTGCTCTTTTGGCTGCATTTGAGTTTTGGTATGCTGCTCTTAGGGCCATTTCTTAGTAGTATAAAGGGGGGGTGGGATTCTCATCTATTGCTTATTGCACCAATTGATGTATGTTCGGAGAAGAAGAAGAATCTCACATTCCCTGTATTTTATTCGTTCGTTTACTTTTTTATTTTTTGTGTCTTCCCTTTCAGATGTTGACAAGTATTTCTGTAAGTACTACTTCCATTGATGGAGTTTTGATTCTTATTTATTCAGATATGTTTCTTTCTTCTCATCTGGCTTCTTTGTTTTTCTTTTATAGTAATGTGATTTTATTTTCATAGTTTGTATTTTGAGAGGTAGAATTGTAGTATGTGACTCTTAATTTTTCTTGCAGCATCCGTTCTGTACTTACGTCAAATTTATTTTCATAGGCATGAGAATATAAACTTTCATATACTTGAGAAATCAAAAATATCCATGTGAAGCATATTTCTGTATTGAACGCTTACACTCGAACAAGACAAAATCTTGAGGCGTGCATTAGACGTTGTATTTCGTAAAACGTGTACCTTTCAAGGTTCAACAAAAACGGGAAGATCGATTTGAAATTTGGAATATTTTTATTTCTCTTACACCTTAAAGCTAACCAGGAAACTAGGATGTTGCAGACAAGAACTCAACTCTCCATTTCATTGCAGAAGCTTTGCTATCTATATTTCTATATTTAGTGCTACTTTGGTGATTGAACAAGATTTCAAGTGACATTCCGGTATAGAAAAACTAGCATTTATCATTGACCGGCGATTCTTTAACGACGATCTCCGTTTCAGGAGCTTGTTTGACTGTTTTCCTCCTTAACCATGCTGCAGAAAGAAGGAATAACCCGAAGTTAATGAAGCTTAATGCCGCTAAAAGTCCATAGAAGCAATCTAATCTTCCTTTGTTTATGTTCTCTCCCAACCATCCTTGTTTGCCGCCGCTTCCGGTTGCAGCCTTCACAATGGAAACTAGCAAGCTACTAAAGAAGAAACCGAGTGAAAGAGTGGTGAGGAATAGGCCAGTGCTCATTGTTTTCATTCTTTTTGGGGATTGAGTAATGAAGAAATCCAGCTGACCGGTGTATATGAATCCTTCTCCCCAACCCACCAGTAAGAATTGTGGAATCAGGTAGAAAACGGTTATCGGTAGCTGTGTTGTTTCACTGTGTTCCTTCGCTATCGACAGCCGTTTTACCTCTACTATGGCTGCAGCTGCCATTCCCATGGCTGACAGGAAGAGACCTATGGCTATCAGTTGCAGATTTGTAAACCCTGTGGACATATATTGATCAAATCGTTACTAGGTTAATGTCGAATCATGCAATTATGTGAATGATTCAATGTTACTGTTTCAACATATGGTGCTAGCATGATGTTTGTCTTACCAGGTTTGCCTTTCCATTTTTTCCAAAGTGGAATAATACAACGATCATAAACAGCTAGACTGATCAATATGGCTCCCACTAACAAAACAGTAAGTGAACCAGCTGGAATTTGGAAATTTCCTATGGTTCTCTCCATAGTGGTGGCTTGTTCCACGGAGAAAGTGATCATTTGCGCGTACGTCGTCCAGAATAAGATCGTTGTCGCCCAAATCGGTAGTAGCCTGATCATCTTTTTCACCTCCTCTACCCTCGTAACCGGACAAAGCTTCCAAGGGTTTACCATGAAGGAACCATTGTGGCTGTAATCATCTTCCGTCACAACAGATGCCTTGTCCAGGAAACTGAGAATGTAAAATGACAAGAGATAGCGGTTATTGACTGATATTACATTGAACTGATTGATAGTAATGTTCGGCATCACAGATTGCATACCGGAACTGATTGGTGTGATGGATTCGTAATGCCTCTGGGAGATCTTCATACAACAAGGAAATATCAGAAGGGAATGTAGCTTTCTTTTTCCCAAATGCAGCGGAAACAACTTGGCAAATATGAACAACGGGGCTTCCCAAACATTTCTTGTATCGGTATCGTTTCGTCCCCGAAAAGAATACCACGAGTGCAAGAAACATCGAAGCAGAGGAGATCCCGTAACCCCAACTTCGACCTACTTCATCTTGGATGTAAACAAGCACTGTGACAGCCATCAAAGTTCCAATGCTGATAACAAAGAAAAACCTGCTGAAAAAGTAGGACATTTGGACCTTCTCCTTTTCATCTTTCTCGTCAAACTGGTCAGTTCCGAAACCTGAAACGCTCGATTTCAAGCCACCGGTCCCTAATGCTATCAGATACAATGAAAGATACAGAATTCCCATTTGAAAGCTATTAGCTTGTTGGCATTGCGTTACATCGGTGTCCTGGCAAGAAGGTGGCCGCAGTTGCGGGAGTTTCGTAGATACAGCTAACAGGCAAGTCCCCTGATTCACCAGTATCATTGAAGGTTTGCAGTTAAAACTTTAGTTTACACATGGCTACACCAGAAGAAAATTAAGTGGTTTCCGAACTTACAAGCATCTGAACCGAGGAGAATATCGCGATCGTTCGGTATCTGCCCAAGTACGTATCGGCAAGGAAGCCGCCAAGTAAACACAGCAGAAAAGAAGTCCCCATGAAGTCTGTCACAACATTTGCAGAAGCAGCACTTGGGAGGTGCATAGTTCCACCCAAGTAAGTCACAAGGTTAACTGCTATCCCCATTGTTGACAGCCTCTCACATATTTCAATGCCTGAAAAAACAACAGCAAAACTCGACTGTTTTGCCTCAATCAAAGACATAATGAAGAAGATCAAAATGAGTTTCGAGTGTACCTAAGCTGAGAGCAGCAGGTATCCAGCCACCAGTTCTAGACTTGTCAGCAGGGAAGCCCTTGTAGTCCACTGCATCAGCAAATGTTAAATTCATCTTCTCAGCCTGTAAGAAAGAAACACTGGAACTTAAAACAACATTTCTCATGACAAAACACCAGTTCCATGCCACTCTTTTCTGTCAAAAACAATGCAAAACTGGAACAAGAAGCAGCAAAGAAACTAACCATGAAAAGGGTCTGAAGAGAACAATGACTAGCACTTTATATAATCTGTGCTCCCCAGATTTCCCATGGAATGTTATCATTTTATAAACTGATAATTACAGGTGTTTGGTGGATAAAGCTGTATAAATGGAAAACTGATCATATTGCCTTGTTAGCATGTTCACGTGGATTAATATAGTAATAACATAATTATTTTATATCTGGCACACCGCTGCAAATAACTGAAATACATTGAATATGGATAAGAATGATGCAGAGAAAATTCATTTAATCAAAGTATGCTTTAATGGTGATTAATAGATTAAAGTAAAAGGCTAAGTCATTGACAAAATATGTGAACCAAAGCTTCACGATACGATATGTGTAAATTTCAACTGGATGATTATACAAGCAAAATTCTTAGGTGCCCTTGTTGTTCTCCATGTAGTGCACTGTCATCGCTTTTTTCACTGATTTTCTGGCCAGGAAAAAGATGCATTGGATTATGATATGAAATGCAATTTTTCTCCCGTGGGTTGAGTAGTAGAAGTTTCAAGTAAAATGAGATCTAATCTAGTTTAACTTTAATTTAATAACGATTCTTGTGATTTAATGAGTGAGATGGTATCATGTATTGATTTATATAGTTTTGATTATAGTATTTTTAAGTTATTTTATTACTATATTTTATTCAAACGATTTAACCATTTTTAGGAGATTTTTTTCATATTAAATGATCTAAAAATATTTTTAAGGTTGAGCATATATATATTTATATCATAAATTTTTTGTATGAGGTAAATATAACTAAAATTTTAGGAGAGACACTATGTATCAACAAAATGAACAATTAATATAAAGAAATTCGAATTTCATAATAAACACAAATCTTGAACCCTAAATCTTAGACCGTATACCCTAAACCCACCCTAGGTTCATCTTACACCCGCTAGTGCTTTTATATATATCAAACTGAAAATTTGCTGTGGATTTTAAGGGCTTTTATTGTATTATTTGAGTGAGTTTTATTATGTTATACAAATTAACTTGTTTGAGAGTTAATATAGGTGTGTTATTGATAGTTTCGAAGTGATTGTTGTTAGATTCAACTCATAATCAATATGAAGTTAAGCATGAGATCTAATCATATCAAAATTATTAATAATGAAGTATTAGTTTCGTTAAAGTATATCTAAATTTATCCTTGGATTTAAAAAAACAAAATTTATCGTTGGAGCTAGAAGGTTAAAATCTTAGAAGAAGATATGTTTTATCCTTTATGTAAAACTCTTCGACGACATAAGAGAAATACAAGTTAACATATTTCTCGAAATCACTACTTCTCTGTATAATCAGTGGCATATCTATATGTACGTTAGGGTGGACACGTGTTAACCCTAAAATCCAAATTTATTTATGTTAATTGTTCATTTTACTAATTGTGTTCATCCTGAAATTTTATTTGTAACTGCTCTATACAAAAATGTTCTATTATTAATACATATGTGTCCACCCTGAAAAATATTTATGGATCCGTCACTATATATAATTAAATATTGAATCAGTTTTTAAGTATTTATAATTCCGCTTCTCATCAAATTATAAATTTAACGTATAATAATTATACTTTATTTTTCATGACACTTCAATACTTAATACTTGCAATATGCATAACATAATTGATCATTTATTTTCATATCATACGTTTAATAATATTTATGCATCATACATGTGTACCCACAGTTGTTAAAATAATAGTTAAAATAATAGTGTAGAAAATGTGTACAATTGGTGTATAATTAGATTAATGAATCATGTACCTTATATTAATAATATGATAATAAAATTTTCATTAAATAAATTTTCGTAAAAGTAAAATCATGTATTGATCTAAATTATATAAAAAAACACACTTATATTTATTGTTATTTTTTTTATATTTTTACATATTTTTGACGCATTTAAAAGAAGGAAAAAGTGGAATATGCTGTGGAAGTAGTCCAAAGCCAAAAATAAATGAAGACTAATGGTTCAAAAAAGGTGAAAACTTTCAAGGGTAAAAAGGACTAAAATTCACGAGGAAGAGTCGGCAAGAAATCGTTTGCGTACCAGCTGATGTCGGATCGTCCAGGTCCACATTATTTGCTTATTCAATCATGGAAGCTAAATAATTATATGAGCAGATACATACCTACATATATGTATATATAATATTCTATATAAAATTATACCTAATTAATAATTATTAATCTCGTATTAATAACGTTTTCGTCCAGAGATTCCAAAGAAATATTTGAACATATATTATCATCAAGTTGTTTTAGTAGTTAAGTGGAGCGTTGTTTGGTCTTAGGTTCAAACAACTCCATATGTAGGAATGTATGTGTTGTCAATGATTAAGAAAGTTTATGAACATATATTATCTTGAAATCCACATGCTATTTTAAAAAAATATATATGAAAAAAGGTACAAGTAAATTTAACCTTAAAAAATCAACGGACTCATGAAGTGTTGCAGAATTCGAAAGTGGCTCCCTTTCTATCAGAGCCTTCATCAGATCAATGGAAGCTAAATGATGTTAATCAAGTGAAAGAACAGTGGGCCATTAGTGGCAAAAACTTTCCAGCTTATCTTATCAAACAACTGCCTATGATTTCACATGAATGTCTGGTGACTGGTCTGAAATTCAGGATAAAACCCAATCAGACTACTATGTAATATTGAATGATTCTTTAGTTATTGACAAGACAAAAATAGTTCATCACTCAACTGTCATTGTTACCATTGATATAGTCAGGCTTGTTAAGTAGACAGATGCTTATCTACTAACAAAAAGCACGAAAGAGGTCGTATCCGCTGATATTAATATTGTATAGCCTTCAATCGTTTACACCGATATTAACTGAAAATAACGAAATAAAATACATGTCTTATGCATAAGGTGAATATTGATGAAATTTCTACGTAGATCTTACTGACATATATTTATTATTGATATAACATAGAGGTGTATGCTTAAATACATCTAATATTTGAAGGATTCTTACAATAACATAGAGGTGTATGCTTAAATACATCTAATATTTGAAGGATTCTTACTGTGCGTATTCAACGTTAACTTTGGCATCAATCTTTGAGATGGCATCGAAGGCTTTGTTCGACAAACGCAAAGTGGCGGGGCAAGGGTCCTGGGAGCAGAGATCCACTACCTACACGACTATCGACCTAACCTTGCACGGCCTCTTTGGGCCACTGATGCACCTTACCCTATATTTCCTTCCGCATGATGCTCCATTATCCCATAACCCATCACTCACTGCAGCAAAGAACTCTCCCGGAGGGAATTGATCTTCGTTGTTCCCTCCGCATATCGTCGCTTCATGGTTTAATTATCATACAAATCAATAGAAGACTAAAACCATCTGTTCATGGATTAATTGTCGTAATTAAATATTTAAAAAAATCAAATTATTTATGGAACTCGAAGGCAAATCAATATTTAAATTCATATAAAGTTTTAATATTTAATTTTTTGATAGAATCGAACTTAAATAAATATACACGATAACAAACAAATCAAAACGTAACGGAAGCCTAATTTAAATAGGGAAGTGTTTCTACTTATGCATGTAGGGAGGCTCATAGGAAGTTGCCGTCCGGACATCTCCCAAGACACCGAGTAAGTCAAACACAACGCAACTCAGTACAAAAAGGTTGCCAACATTACTCTTGACCTCATAACTCACTTTACATGTCTTTGTCGTGTCTTTTTTTTTTTTTTTTAATTTTACTCATACGAAAACGTCTGTCTCCCAAACCTATTTATACTTTACATCAAAACAGCAGCAGCACGACAGAATTAGCCCGTCCATATTTTTTCCCCACGTGGATAGTCGTGGGCGGCTGAAAGATTAAGAAAAGATATTGCATTGCACGAGGATGAGGATCTTACATTGTTGGTTTTCCATTAATGATGTTATGGTGGTGAGATGACGAGTGTGGTTGGGTAGGTTTTGGAAGCTGACGGCTGGCTTCTGCTACTGGTTTTTCTATTATTCTACGACCGGCAGCGCCAATGGAAAATGATATTAGATGTTGCTTTCGTTCAAGAGTTTCACATGCTGGATTTCGAATCACAAGTGATCAACCAGAAGATGAAGCCACCAACACGAGTACATCGTCCTTTGTATTTAAATATACAGAAAAAGCACCGGTGCATGACATATGTCTCTACACGCAATGAATCATATGTATTTTATATACGCAACTTAAAATGAGAGAGCTATCTAATCCAGCACAGATGGACCAGGGGATACCCGATCCTCTTAAAATTTCAAATTTATTTATATTTTAATTTTTTTCTTATATCTTTTTTAAAATTTATTTTTATTAAAGTTTTATAAATTTACTCTATCCTAAATTTTTTTAAGTTCATCCCTTAAATTAAAAGAAAAAACATGTATTTGTCTCTGTTTCAAGTACAAGTGGTTGGAAACACGCGGTGTTGATGAAGAGAGCTTGGTTCAAGCCTACCAAAGGATCCAAGGAGAGATATTAAGGGGGCGTTTGGATGTCATAGGAATGAAATCCACATTCCCCGTTTGGTTAGTCCGGGAATCTCATTTCCGGTAATGTAAGATTACCAATAGTAGATTTTTTTGGGTATATTATCGGGAATGTCATTACCTCCATTTCCTTATGTATTGTTTGATTAACGGCGTTTTGGACTAAAATGCCTTTAATTTTTTTTCTTTAAAAAATATCATTCTTCTTTCATTGAATAATAAAAATTCTACGAAAGTTAAATTACAAATTTATCCTTAAACTATTTTAGATTTACAAAAAAAATCTATAATTAAAATTTTATATGAAGTTTAGGGGTTAAAATAAAATTTTACCCTTTCATTAAACCTTTTTATATTTTCAATTTTATAAAAAAATTATATAAATTTTATGAATTTAAAATTTTAAAGAAAATATATAAATACTTTTCAACTTGTTAAAAAAATAAATATATAATAAAGACAATTTGATAAAATATACATTCCAATAATCTTTTATTCTTTTAATCAAACACGGTAATCTTCCATTCCTGTTAAGCTAACCAAACACAAAATTCAACATTTTCAGTAATCCTATTCCGTGATAATCTTACATTCCCACTGATAATCTTACATTCTATGAACCAAACGCACCCTAAGAGACACCTCTGTCTGGCTTTGGTTAGAAGGGTGAGTTCTTTTACTTCTTTTTGTATCTTTCCCTTATTTGTTTTTCTTCTTTTACCTTCCATTTGTCTTTCTACACCCTTATTTTAAGGCACATGGAATACATATTTTTTCCATGGCATAAATCTCATGTTTGCATTATATCTAGTACGTTTCTAGAAGTTCTTTTTGCTATTATTTCATGATCTCAATTCTGTTTCGTTTTTGCATATAGATCTTATCTTTACAATACCTTCAAGGCTTCAACACCATTTCCTTTTCCTCCTGGTTTTTGGTCCTTTTCTAACTGGCATCCCGATTTGTATTTTGATTAGCATGCTTCCATTTTTTTAGGTTCCTCTGTTTGAGAGTATGGATGAGAGATTGCTTGATGCCATTTGTGATCGGTTTAAACCATGCCTGTTTACCGAGAATACTTACATAGTCCGAGAGGGGGATCCTGTTGATGAGATGCTTTTCATTATTCCTGGCTGCCTTGAGAGCGTAACAACAGATGGTGGAAGGAATGGTTTTTTCAACCGCAGCTTGCTTAAAGAAGGAGATTTCTGTGGAGAGGAACTTCTAACTTGGGCATTGGATCCCAAAACCGGTGCAAACCTTCCAACATCTACTCGGACGGTGAAGGCTTTGACTGAGGTTGAAGCTTTTGCCCTTACAGCCGAGGAGTTAAAATTTGTTGCCGGTCAATTCAGGCGTCTTCACAGTAGACAGGTACAACACACGTTCCGTTTTCATTCACTGCAATGGAGGACCTGGGCAGCTTGATTTATTCAAGCCGCATGGCGGTGCTATTCCAAGAGGAAGAGCTTCGTCGGAAGGAAGAAGGAGAGGAAGCAGAAGGATCAAAAGGAACCCGCAATAACAGTGGTGGAGGTTCGTACAGCATCCGTGCCACATTCTTAGCTTCCAAGTTTGCAGCGAATGCACTTCGTGGTATTCATCGAAATCAGATTGCTAAGAGTGCAAAGGAGTTGGTGAAACTACAGAAGCCTTCTGAGCCCGATTTTACCGCCGAAGACGCAGATTAATGTGTAATTATTGCTGTCTGATTTAAAATGGTGTTAATTTTATGTTATTGTATTTTTTCTTAGAAGATCTAAAAACAGTGTATAAATACATAAAAGTTTGGAATTGCAGTGGTAACAAAGGCTTGCTTGAAGTAATGTTTGAGACTGTAAAGGTTGCTCGATGCTTCATTATTGGACTCGCGTAGAGTTCCCATTTCCCGAAACCAAAGGAAAATGCAACGCATCATCTTTAGCATGATCGCTGGGATATTATGAGATTGTTCGGTTAAGGCAATCGAAACTGTTACAAAATCTAAATGATTCAACTCAATTATCAAACCCAAATACTTCGAACCTATACAATTTATAGTTCTGTTTAAGAATCCATCACCACTTCAGAAGTTTCACATAGCCAGTTACATGAAACACTACTGCTTGACTGCAGCAGTTAAACATTCTCTTCTGTTATTTGAGAACAGCTGAACGTTTATAAATTACTCAAAGTAATGTTATATCATAATTATGCCTTGTAGCAACAAAGGGATCCGTGGCGCAATGGTAGCGCGTCTGACTCCAGATTAGAAGGTTGCGTGTTCGATTCACGTCGGGTTCAATTCCCTATGCAACATCCCTGTGATTTTTTTGACTCGTCCAATAAAAGGAAACCCTACTCCTTGCACAATGAATTAACGGATAATATCAATCGACGGCTATCTTTGGTATTTTTTCCGTTATACTCTTTAAATTTCCTTAATTAGTTTCCCATGTTTCTATCGCTTGATTCTCAGCTTCAACGTTTACAAATACACATATCAGAGTTGCTTCAATTTGCTAGAGTGGTGGGATTCATGGCGCAATGCTATCGCGTCTGCCTGCAGATCACAAGATTGCGTATTCGATTCTCGTTGGATTCAAATCTCAATCATTTGTGTTCTTATTCCAATGTTTTAGTCTTTTTAATATCCATAGCAATGGAACTTTACTGTTTCTTGCTCGCTTTCCGCCCCGTCTAATCCGCAATGGAGATTGTTTTCCAAGTTGGCCCTTTTTGACACTAAATTCTCATTAAATTCCGTAAAATCTAATTTTACGAATATTCTTTTATTTTAAATATTAAAACCTGATAAGAATTGATTTTTTATGACGGTTTATCTTATTAAAACAACATATTAGAACGAAATATAAAGATTGAGGAAGAGGTATGAAATAAGCTGAGTCCGAAGAGAGTTGGATTTTTTCTTTCTTTCTTCAGTTTGGTTTTTATATTATTTGAGCCTACATCCTACCATAGTACGTGACGAAGAAGTTTGACAAATCTAAAGCAAGTAGAATGATAGGATCGATCTATGTAGCTTGACACCATAATGGATTGCAAGACTCCTTTGTTAGAGGATGGTGGAGTCTTTCAGAGTTGACATTATCAATAAAATAAATAATTACCAATTTGGCACCATGGACAATAGTTTACTTCTTTTTCTTTTGGATGTACGAGTCGACTCTGTTGGTTAACATGTGTTTTGTTTCTGTCTATATCTACATAAAGAATTTGACCATATAAACCAAGTTAGAAGTCAATCACCATAAAAGCATGATGAGGAAAGGAAAGGAAATTTATTGCTAAAAAGGCTTTATGTAGTTCTAACTTCATTGAAACAAACTGAAAACACACTATACCACTCCCCCTCCTTTCCTCGTAACATGTTTTTTATTCATGAAACAGATCTTCAAGAACCCAACAGCTTCAAACAGGTTGTTCTCCTTTTTCGCTCTGCATGGTCCAAAGCCATTTAAGAAGAGTTTTTTCAGAACCCATTCCGCCAGATTTGAGATGCCTAATCCAGTTGCCACGTGCTTCTTATCATTCAAGACAGGCCCGGCCATGTCAATGTGCAGCCACTGCACTTTTTCATCAACAACCTGCAACGGAATTTTGCAATATGGTTCAACAGAGGAGATTGCAATATATGTCTTTACGAGTGTGTGAAGATATACAGACGGTAAAATTTACGTACTTGTTTCAAGAACAGAGCTGCATTGATAGCGCCGCCTTGACGACCACTGGTATTTAACATATCAGCAACTCCTGATTTCATCGACTCCCAATAGCTTTCCTCCAATGGCATCCTCCAAAATTTCTCACCACTCACCTCTGAAGCTTCCAATACCTCCTTTGCTAGGTCATCACTGGGTGTGAAGACACCTAAAAGAAAAGTTTCCAATGCAATGACAGTGGTGAGATAGTCTTTTGGTTATAATCGAGTAACAACCAATGAAAATTATGAATGCAATGGCCTTTTGAACCGACTATGAATATGAAAAACATTTTCAATTAAAATGTGTTATATTGAAGTTTCAGTTTTGAACATTTGAAAGGCAAATGCAGAGTTTCATTCATGGATGTGTTAAACTTTCAGATATCCTCTTGTTTCTCCAAACTTGCTCCCAAAACTAACCAAAGCTAAGTTCAGAAAACTATTTTCCACGAATTGTAAAATTTGTGTCATGTATACCTGAGATTGAGGGTCCAAGAGCAACAACACAAGCCCCAGTAAGTGTTGCCAGGTCAACTATCTGCAAAATTAGTTAACAAGTCTTGAAAATGCATTTCTGATTATCTATCCAAAATAAGCAATTGAAACTACCAGATTGACGACTGTCATCACAAAATAATGGTGTCCAGCTTTTGGTTTTACCTTCTCAACACCTTGGTTGCATGAATAAACCAGATCATCTGCTAGTGTAAGCCTACCTTCTGCGTCGGTGTTATTAACCTGCAATCTACATGGTGAGAAACAAGTTATTTATGAGAGACATTGAAGAAAATACCCAATAATACATGTCACAATACCATATAGTTCATGATACCTCAATTGTCTTTCCATTTGAAGCTGTGACAATATATCCAGGCCTCATACCCGTTCCACTGATCATGTTTTCACAAGATGCAACAATAAAATGAACCTGCGTGATAGGAGAATTTATGAAGTGACAGGTCACAGACTAGATTCGATGCATAAATCAGAAAAGGCAAACAAATATAAACTAATATATAAAACACAATATAAAACACAATAAGAAAATAATACTCATCCTTTCCTCAGCAACTCAGCCTTGAAAATATAATCTTGAAAAGGATGCATAGAGGTGGAGAGTAGCAATAGTAAAATGAGAGCAAACAAATGAATTACCTCTACTCCAGGAGGTTTGATTTGTCCAAGGGCTTTTGCGGCACCAAAAACAGCTGCAGAACCTCCCATGTCTACTTCCATGGTTTCAATTGAGCAACCAGGTCCGGTCTTGATATTGTAGCCACCACTAAGAACATAGAAGACAAGTTTTCAAAAATAGGGATGTTTCCTATGGACACAGAATCATAAAAGCTTTGCTTGGTATAGAGGATGGAAATGAGGAAGGATAGAAAATCTGTTAATCAATCGGTTAAGATTCGTAACCACTTTCTTACTTTGAATCTTAGCCATTTGATTAACAAATTTTCCATCCTTCTTCATTTCCACATACCAAGGAAAGTAAAGTATCCTCCTGTTAGAATATGTCGATATGTATATATGAACTTACCTGTCAAAAGTCAATCCTTTCCCGACTAATGCTAACTTGGTTTTAGTAGGTCCATTAAGGGGTTTGTAGCACAAATGGATGAAATGAGGTGGATTTGCAGATGCTGCAAATCCTCCGAGATAAGATCCCATCTTCAACTCCCTGCATTGCTCTTCTGTCAGGATGTTTGCAGACAGAACATCGCTGTTCTTAGAAGCAATCTTTGAAGCCTCTGCTGCTAGTGCAGCTGCAGGCATGTAAAGGCACATTAGTTCAAATTTTATAAATTTCTCATCTTTTAATTGCCCCATTGAAACTATATACTCTGTCAGTGACAAGTTAGAAATTCAAACTTCTCATTACACCTTCAGGCATAAAATTAAACAATAATCATACTTACAATTAACTGCAAAAATAAATTATTATCTAAAAAAAATACAAGAATAATGCTTGTACGAACCAGGGGAAAGAACATTGGCCAATGAATTCACAAGCTCTCTTCCAAATAGCATAGCATAAGAAACAACTTCAGCATACTTAAGCTTCTTCTCAGTCTCTGGTCCAGTTCCAAGACCAATAATATCCACAGATTTAAGCAGTGGTTTCTTTGACTCGGATTTGTATCTATTATCGTCACATGTTCCCAACACCGTCCCTATGGGAATGAAAACCATTCAACTAAGATAAACTCCAATCTTCAGAATAAGAACATAGATCATGATACTAAGGAATCATAAGAGCATTACCAGATGCTAGGGCCGAAGTAGTATTGCTCTTCGACTCAGTGGAGAGGCCTTCTGAAGAGGGCAAGGAAGACGCTAACACTACTGGCTTGAGCAATCTTTGCAGCTGCAGCAACAGCCTCACCAATCCCACGAAAAGCAGCTGGAGATGAAGCTGACTGTTCAAGGCCAAACAAACCAACCCTTTTGAAGCCAAGGCCTGGAAGTCTATGAACCATGGACTGGCCTGTTTTCCCTGTGAAATCCTCCTCAGAAGAGGCCTTCCCTAAGAAACCACGCAACAGGCCATCTAATTTTTTCAAAAGTGAGTTCTGAAACTTGGAGGTTTCATCCTTGATCATGTCTTTCACGGTGACCCCAACTGCAAGTAGGTCCCCTTTCCATTCTGCCACATCGATCTCTTTTGCAGCAAAAGAGATCTTTCAAGCATTTCCACAACATTAAACTAACAAAAAATTTAGCTAATCTTTTACTTCTTTAGTTTCAGAATTAATCCTGTGAAGACACCAAATTTTGACCAATTAATATTGTTATATATTATATACAATAATGTTTACATCAGATTGGTAGCCCAGCAGTGACTAGTAACACGTGGCCCAACAATGGCCCGAAGTGAAGCACTTGAACCGGTCTGCTTGTATTTCCGTCTGAACCGGGTCCAAATTGAACCGTTGAACTAGGGTTTGGAAACCCTAGTTCCTCCTCACTTTGTCTCCTGACTGAGCGCCGCAGCCCCAACCTTCCAAAGGTCCCACGACCAAATTCCTCGATCAACAGCCCCCACGAGTCTTCGCCATACACGCCTCTATCCCATGCTTCTCGGCAACAGACCACCATCGTGGATGTTTAGGACACCAAAATAGCAAATAACAAGTGTTTTAGT